TGTGTGTGTGTGTGTGTGTGTGTGTATATGTGTGTTTGTGTGTAAGGTTGACCCTGTCTTACAAACCTGAAGAGTTTTGGAGAGGTCAGATATGTACGCAGTTAGTGACGAAGCATATGATGGATTCTATAAAGAAGGAAATGTGGCCTGGTGTGGTAGCACACAACTGTGATCTTAGCACTCAGGAAGCTGAGGCAGGAGGATCACAGTGAGTTTGAGGCCAATCTGGGATACATAAAAAAAACAGCAACAACAAAACAAATTAATTTCAATGAGGCCATCTAGAGGGCTTCCTGGATTCTGTGGCTTAGATATGAAAAGTATCTCCATAGGCCCTGATGAGTGAAGCCCTGAAGCAAAGTTATAAAAGAAAATGGTGTCAGATCGCTGGGAAGGGTATATGACAGGGTGAGATGGGTGGGCTGGGAATACCATGAGAGATAAGCTCAGAAAAGCAGGTTGAAAACACCTTTGGGCCAGGAGTGGTGGCGCACATCTGTAATCCCAGCATTCGGGAGGGAGGCTGAGGCAGGAGGAGCACAGCAGGTTGGACACCAGCCTGGCAGCATGGTAAGTTCAAGGTCAGCCTGAACCACAAAGGGAGATCCTGTCTCAACAAAACAAAACAAAACACTCTTGGAATGCCTGCTATGAAGTTTGGGCTTCAACCCAGAGGCAAGGCGAAATTGACTCAAACATGTTTTGGAGAGATAACAAGTAGCCATTAGATGCCTGGATAGGACCAGAAAGATCAGTTCTGAGTGATTGGAACTGTGCAGGGCAGAGATTGTGCTGGCATTCACTGGGGAGCTGGAAGATGTGGCCAAAGAAGCATGAAGATGAGGCGGTGAGGAGCTGAGTGAGGGATGCTTCAGGGTTGCTTGTCTGAGAAACTGGGAGGAAGAATTCAGGGAACAGATATCTGGGTTTGGGTGGTGGAGGTCACTGTGAGCTGTGCCGGGCGCTGACAAGGAAGGCAGCACTGGATCTAAGAGAGAAGTCCTGGCTAAAGATGCAGATCTGGCAGGTGTACACAAAGAGTTGTCCAGCTGCAGGTGGAACTTTCTACAAAACAGATCATATACTCACCTGAAAGCAGGCATCTGGAGGGCAGTGGATGCACCTTGAGACTATAATGTTAAAAAGTCAGACACTCACGCTTAAATATCACATGGCTTCTCTTATATGAGACACTCAAAGTATAAATAAGTTAAAGAACAAAATAGAAGATCAATAATGGAAAACAGGGAGCTAAATCTTTTGCAAAAGGCAAGGGGAACAAGAGATGGAGGGAGGCGGGCAGTGAAGGAAGCCAAAGGGGATGGAAAAAGAATTTATTTATTTATTTATTTTGGTATGGTGTGTGTGGGGGGGAATTGAACACAGGTCCTTGTGCTTACGAAGCAGGCAGCGTAAACACTGAGCTACATGCCTGGCCCTGGAAAAAGAATTTAGATGTGTTGTGTTCATGTACCAACTCCCCACGAGGAATGTGATAATGTGTGTACTGCAGACACAGACACACAGACACACACACACACACACACACACACACAGTGGCTGTGGAAGCTGTGGATGCGTTGTGGGGTTCTTACCCTCTGGGTCACTCGCATTTTGGAATAGGCTACATGCCTGGCCCTGGAAAAAGAATTTAGATGTGTTGTGTTCATGTACCAACTCCCCACGAGGAATGTGATAATGTGTGTACTGCAGACACAGACACACAGACACACACACACACACACACACACACACAGTGGCTGTGGAAGCTGTGGATGCGTTGTGGGGTTCTTACCCTCTGGGTCACTCGCATTTTGGAATAGTTCATTGTGGGATGTTGAAGAAGCTTTTTTTTTTTTTTGTTTTGTTTTTTTTTGTTTTTTGAGACAGGGTCTCTCTCTATAGTTGAGACTGACCTGAAACTCACTGTGTAGCCCACGCTGGCCTCGAACTCACAGCAATCCTTCTGCCTCAGCCTCCCGAGTGCTGGGATTACAGGCGTGCACCACCACACCCAGCCACACTGAGTCCAAATTCTTTTTTTTGTTGTTGTTGTTGGTACCAGGGATCGAACTCTGGACCTTGCCCTTGCAAGGCAGGTGGCGGAACCACTGAGCGAAATCCCCAGCGAAGAAGCATCTTTGACCTCTACCTACTACTCACTAATAGTATTGGCCCTCTTCTATGTGACAATCAAAAATATCCCCAGGCAAGGTCAAATGTCCCCCAAAGGGCAAATTTCTCCCACTGAGAAATACTATTTTAGTCTACAGCCATACCACCCTAAGCAAGCCCTGTCTCTCTTCTGATCTCGGAAGCTAAGCAGGTTCCCTGCCTGATTAGTACTTGGATGGGAGAAATACTACTCTAGGAAAGAGTTTGGAGTCAGAAAAACAAGGAGCAGGACAGGATCTTAGGAATCTAATGGCAGTCAGAGAGGAGGAGGGGGCGTGCACATGAGTGGTGACTGTCACAGATGTAGTGGCCAGCAGTGTGACAGGCTGAGGAGGGAGTATGAGGAAAGAAAGAGGCATGGCAGTGGTGTAAGCTTTGTGATTTCCACTGGGCCTCCTGAACACCTCTTTCTTGTTCTTGCAGCCTTTTCCTATGGGATGAAGGAATCAACTGGCCTTGTGGGCCATAAGATTGGTCAGGGGACCTGCGTGTCATGACACATGCATGTAATCCCAGCACTTGGGAGGCTGAGGCAGGAGGATTGCTGCAAGTTTGAGGCCAGCCTCGGCTAGTGAGTTCAAGGCCAGCTTGCACTACACAGCAAGACCCTGTGTCAAAAAAAGTTATTAGTGAGAGATTTACATTCTTTTTTTCATACTTGGTCTTTATAATCTGGTATATGTTTTACACTTACAACACAGCACAGTTAAGACCAGCCACACTGCACACACTAAACAACCACATGTGATTAGTAGTTATTGTCTTGGACAACACAAGATGAGGACCCTAAGCCATCTCTGCCTGGCCATGCTGCAGGCTCTTTATAGATGAGGAGAATGCAGCAACATTCTGCCCACAATCAGGATGGGACAAACCTCAATTCCCTGGCTGTCCTAGCCACCAAAATTCAGGTCTGTATAATCCAATAACCTGGGGGTAAGATTTTATTATGTTAGTCTTCATTAAAGTGACTCAGGTTGGGGTGTGGTTCAGTGATAGGAGTAGGTGCCTAACATGTGCAGGCCCTGAGATCAAATCCTAGCACCACACACCAAACACCAACATTCTGGTGAGTTAAGTGGGCATTTTGACAATATGGCTTCTCCTTTGCCATGTTTAATGCCTGCTTTCTTTCTTTCTTTCTTTCTTTCTTTCTTTCTTTCTTTCTTTCTTTCTTTCTTTCTTTCTTTCTTTCTTTCTTTCTTTCTTTCTTTCAACGGGGTCTCATTATGCAGTCCAGGCTGACTTTGAACTCACATTCTTCCTGCCTCAGCCTTCAAGTGCTAGAATTATAAACATGTGCCACCATGCCTGGCCCATAGTCAATTCTTGTTTCATGGACACCCTTGCAATTTAAGATGACACTTTTAAAATAAAATTCTCTCCCGACAACTTGATCTCTGACACTTCACAGGAGAATCAGCGGAAGCTGTGAGAACTTATTTAGAATTCACATTCTCTATTGTAATCTTGTTCCTGTTTATTTTTAAATTTTCTTGTGTTTCACTAGAAAGGTGTTGCTCAGTTTTAAATGTTAAAAGTGTATAGGGCCGGGAATTTAGCTCAGTGGTTCTGCCGCCTGCCTTGCAGGCGCAAGGTCCTGAGTTCGATCCCCCGTGCCCCCCACAAAAAAAGTGTACAAGTTGGGCCAGGGATTTAGTTCAGTGGGATCTCTGTGCCTGACTCACAAGTGCAAGGTCCTGAGTTCGATCCCTGGTACAAAAAAAAAAAAAAAAGTGTACAAGTTGCTCTGTTACAACACCACTAGACATGTAGTGATTGGAATGTAGCACATTCATGACAACCTGGACTCAATCCTCATAAAAAAAGAAAGTATGCGCAAAAGAACAAAAGTCTCAAAATGCTGCAGAGTCCAACATTTTTAAGGCCTTTTTAAAATACTTTGGGCGGAAGCTGACATTTTCTCCTTGGAACTGCTATTTCTTTTGGGATGAGGCAAGAATGTTTGTTCCCTTCTCAGGGTCTCTATTATTGTTCTTTCTGTCTTGATAAACACCGGGCCAGGAAGAGTGGATTTTCTCTGGCCCAAAGCCAGCTTAGTGGAAAAATCCTTTGCCCTGGGCCCCTCTAGTCCTAGGGCGGCCCTCTGACCAGCCCTATGATGACCCTCAGAGAAGTGTGGGCTGCTGGAGTTTCCAGGGAAAGGAGGGGTGTAAGCTAGCATTTCCTTCATCCCTGACACTCTAGTAGGCACCCTGCCTGAGCTTTTGATTCCTTTCTTCCACTGTCTGAGCTCAGCATCAGCATCTGCAAAATGCAGACAGGTGAAGAGATTCACTGGGGGTCACCCAGTTAGTAACTCAGAACTTTGACATCAGAGCCCAGACTCACAGCATCCCAAACTTTGGGTGTTGTGGTTTCTGCCCACCCTAGCACCCAAAAGCAAGGACTGTCCAGCAGGAAAGTTTAACACCTGCATTCTGCTTCCATGTAAACCAGTCCCGTCAGGGTGCTTTGGTCTCTATAAACTGGAATTAGATATTCAGGACATAAAAAGGAGATGTCAACCGGGGCATAAAGGCACACGCTTATAATCTCAACACTCTTGAGGCTGAGGCAGCAGGATCTCTGTGAGCTTGAGGCCAGCCTGATCTGCATAGAGTCCCTGTTTCAAAAAACCAAAAAAAATAAAACAAAAAAGTCAATTTACTTTTTAAAAAGGAGACCATCTAGCCTCAGCAGACCAAGGGGAGCTTATTCTCCTCATTCCTGAGAGGTTTGAAGCCCCTTGGAGTCCGGAAGCCCTGTTGCTTTAAACTTCGGCCTTTGGGAGGAGACTGAGAGGGCGGTGAAGGGCACCCGCCTACCTGGGGAACCTGCCTTAGGTGTGGCCGAAGAGCTGTGGATGCGGTGGGCGGGCTGAAAGTTGGAGCTAGCAGGAAGTGGAACCCGGGCTGCCCTAGGAGGAAACAAACCAGCAAGTTCTGCTGCCGACGGGCCTGAGTCTCCGGAGACATGGTGAGAGGTCTTGGGCGGGTAGAGGGTTGATGTAAAGAGGAGCCGGGGCTCTGTGGCCTGGGGGGCGGCCGGGGCAGCGGCGTTGCCTGGGCCGGCCGGACCGGCCCTGCCTGTGACCTATCT